TGGAAAGATGAGATGAATTTATGCAGACTTCAGGGAAGTTTGAATTTGAAACAATCTCATATTGAGAAGACTGCTTTTAGGCCAATGACTGTTATCCAGGAGGAAATCTCTACAAAAGAGAAAATGTGGGAATGTAACAAGTTGGACAAAATGTGGAATCTGAGCTCAGATGCTGTATCATTTCAGGAGTTTCATGCAAAAGAGATTTCCAGGCAGTTAGATATATGTGATCAAAACTTCAATGAGCATTCAGATGACAGTGACTATCAAGGAATTCAGGTGTTAGAAAAAACATGTAAATGCACTGAATCCCAAAGTATCTGCTGTTGCAAAAAACTATTAATGAAAAGCAGCACATTCGAAGGAGAGGGAAGCTTTATGCATGATGTACATGAGGGAAAGCCTTCAAATGGAGTACTGACCTCATTAGACATCAGAGCTACCATACTGGAGAGAAACCCTATGAGTGTATTAAATGTGGAAAAGGTTTCACCCAGTTCCCTAACCTTATTCAACATTACGGAGTTCACACTGGAGAGAAGGCTTTTCAGTACAGTTATTCTGGAAGAGACTTTATTCAGATCTCTAACCTTATTCAACATTACAGAGTTTATACTGGAGAGGAGCCCTTTCAGTGCAAAGATTGTGGAGGAGGCTTTTTTCAGATCTCTAAGCTTACTCAGCATCAGAGAATTCATACTGGAGACTTTGCCTGACCTCTTTCCATAGTCCATGAATGTTCTTTATCTCACATCTTGCTCAGCTTCCGTCTCACTCCCTCTTACCTGCATTTACCTTTTCACCTATGCTCAATCCTTATTGAACATTACAGAATTCACACTGGAGAGAAATCTTATGTGTGCAATGAATGTGGAAAAGCCTATGTTCAGGGCTCAAATCTTAGTCTGCATCAGAGAATCCACACAGGAGAGAAACCATATGAGTGTAGTGAATGTGGGAAGGCCTTCAGGCAAAGCACCAATCTAACTCAGCATCTGAGAACCCATAATGGAGAGAAACCCTATGAGTGTGGTGAATGTGGGAAAGCCTTTAGACACACTTCACCCCTCAGTCAACATCAGAGAACACATGATATTCATCTGGCCGTGGATAACAAAAGAAAGCTCTGTTTATGCAATGAATGTGGCAGGGCTTCTAACCAAAATGCACATGTTATTCAACATTGTAGAATTCATACTGGTGTGAAACCCTATGAGTGTAGTGCATGTAGGAAAACTTTTGGTACACAATCAACTCTTATTCAGCATCATAAAATTCATGCAGCAGAGAAAACTTATGGATGCAGTGAATGTGGGAAAGCCTTTAGGCAGAGGACCCAACTTACTGAACACCAGATAATTCATCTGGAGAGAAACCTTATGAATGCAGCAAATGTGGAGAACCCTTCACTCACAGTTCCAATCTTTTTCTACACCAGAAAATTCACATGAAAAAATTATCTTAAGTAGGACTTCCCTCTCAAACCTCAGGAGGAACAGTATTCCTTTGGCTTAAATGACATTTTTGTTATTCTAATGTTGCTCCTGCTGACTTCCACACCAATAGGCAAGAATAAGAATATATCAAATCTTTAAATTCATGGCTATATGAATATGATTGTAGAAATGGTGGGGGGCAATGACCAGCCAGGTGGCCGTCAGTCAAATTGTAGTCTGGCTTTGTAGTTCCATTTTATTTCTAAGTGGCTTGGTTAGCCCAAGGAAATTCTGACTGTAATTTGTGAGTGTTCTGCAGGAGAAGCAGTACCCAAACTGTCAGCAAATCCTATCAGCTGTATCTGCAAAATATTCCAAAGCGGANTTGAGCGTGGTGCGGGCGTGACACCAAGGGTTGCGATCCCGTTGCCAGTCGCAGTACGGGCGCGACACCGAGGGTTATGATCCCATTACTGGTCACTAAAAAAGATAAAAAGGAAAAAAAAGAAAAGAAAAGCCCCTCCTGCATGTCTTTCTCTTCCTTCAGGAAGAATATCCCTGAGTACTGGGGTTCTGGGTCAGGGCTAGTTTGTGATAAGGGATGGAAAGGAAGAATTCACGTGCTGAAATGAAAAAGTGTAGCTCAGCCTGATAAAAATGAAGACAAAAGATTCCAGGTGTACTGGTTTCATTGTGTTTCTGTCCTCAAGTCTAAGGCACACACTTTGCCTGACCTCTTTCCATAGTCCATGAATGTTCTTTATCTCACATCTTGCTCAGCTTCNAATGTTTTATAGTATCTGACTTGAGATACTTACTAGGGGAAAAGGAGAATAGATCAATTTTGATACAATGGAGTTCCACAGTTGCCATGGGAATTGTCTGGAAGAGCACTTAGCCCAGCTTAGGGAGTCAGGAATGTTTCTGAGTGGAATGGATGTCTGTGCTTAGCCCTGAAGACTGTGCAGAAGTCACTCAAGGGCAGAATGTTGCAGCAAGAGTTTTCTTGTCAGGGGGTGGATACTACATCTTCAAAGGCCCAGGAGGTACAGGGAGTTGTGTGGTTCAGGGACTGAAAGGCACTCAGTGTTTTTCAAGTGTAAATTGTTAAACACAGTGGGTGGTGAGAAAGTAGGTTGAAGAGAGATTAGGGACTGTATCATCAGGGGTCTTATAAACTTTGATAAGCTGTTTGGACAGAAAATGGTGCCTCTCACGCACATATAGGGCAGGTGCCCCACCTTGGCTGTTCTCAAATTATGGCACAAGGTCTGAGCTGCTTTGGCACTACATCCACATCATGCATTTGCTCTTTGCTTCCAGCTGCACAGATGTGAGAGGGATACCATGAAGGACACATACCAGCTCTTAACTGCCTGAGGCATAGAATGTTTCTTCCTGTAAATCATTGCCACCCCATTCACATGTGCTATAAAGAAGAGTCACGTGTGCTCTAAACAGGACTATTCACATGTGCTATAAACAAGAAGTTTTGTAACCCTCCAGGTACAGGTATACATTGACCCCCTCCCCAAAGTCTTTGAGAGGTTATCTCCATCAAAATATCCCCTTCTTTGCAACATGTATCACGTTCATTTTATCTGGCTACTTTTCTGTGAACCATCAACATGGCTAGTTATCTTCTTAGGTTTTTTCTCCCCTTATCATAGTGTATTAGTCTGCTCATGCTGTCAAAACAAAATACCACATCCTGCACGACTTAAACAACAGAAATTTATATTCTCAATCTGGAGGCTAGAAATCCACAGTGAAGGTGCCAGCAGTGTTCATTTCTGGTGAGGCCTCTCTCCTTGGCTTGCAGACGGTACCTTCTCACTGCGTCCTTACATGGACAGAGAGACATCTCTGGTGTCTCTTCATCTTATAAGGACACCAGTCCTATCTAATTAGGGCCACACCCTTCAGACTTCATTTAACCTTATCAGCCCCTTAAAGGCCCTGACACTAAATACAGTCATATGGGAGTTAGAGCTTCAATATGTTAATTTGGGGTGGGGTAAGGGACACAATTCAGCCCTTACCACAAAGTCTGTGTCCATTTACTGTCTTATGGTTATTAAAAGAGGTTTGAGTAGGTACCAGGAAGTAATAAAGAAGTAGATACTGAATAAATATTTTAAAATCTTGAGTGATCAACTGTTATGAAAAGCCCCTCCTGCATGACTTTCCTCTTCCTTCAGGAAGAATGTCCCTGAGTATATGTTGTGGGTCAGGGCTAGTTTGTGATAAGGGA